AGACTGAGGCTTGTGTTTAACTACACGGGTGTCTGCATGAAGCAATGGATGATAATAGAGCAGTTTGCTGCACTTTAACTTTTAGAGTCATTGTAACAAAGCAGTTTTGAAAGTTTTCTATTGTAGTTGGCATAATACTCAACCCAGTGTGCTGTTCTTTCTATACGACTGAACTAACACATGCGAACTTATTTCAGATTACTCTGACTCTTAGGTTCACTGATCATCTCTTTTCTCCTGCTCTCCTTGCAGATCATGTTTGAGACCTTCAACACTCCTGCCATGTATGTGGCCATCCAGGCAGTGCTGTCCCTGTACGCCTCTGGTCGTACCACTGGTATTGTCATGGACTCCGGTGATGGTGTGACCCACACTGTGCCCATCTATGAAGGCTACGCTCTGCCCCATGCCATCCTCAGGTTGGACCTGGCTGGCAGGGACCTCACAGACTACCTCATGAAAATCCTGACTGAGAGGGGCTACAGCTTCACTACCACAGGTGAGCATGAGGATGGTTTTTGAGACATGTGAGGCTTCACGGTTTTTCTTATCTTAACTGTAATGTTTTCTTGTGTCACAGCTGAGCGTGAGATTGTGCGTGACATCAAGGAGAAGCTGTGCTATGTTGCACTGGACTTTGAGCAGGAGATGGGAACTGCTGCCTCCTCTTCATCCCTGGAGAAGAGCTATGAGCTGCCTGATGGACAGGTCATCACCATTGGGAATGAGAGGTTCCGTTGCCCAGAGGCTCTCTTCCAGCCCTCATTCCTTGGTAAGCAGCATCAGCTTTAAGACAAATTGCTGTGATTTGTAAAAAGTTCTTAGCAAGGCTAACCTTAACCCCTAATTTTTCCAACTCTCAACAGGTATGGAGTCTTGTGGTATCCATGAAACTACCTTTAACAGCATCATGAAGTGTGACGTTGACATCCGTAAGGACCTGTACGCCAACACTGTGCTGTCTGGAGGTACCACCATGTACCCTGGCATTGCTGACCGCATGCAGAAGGAGATCACTTCACTGGCACCCACCACCATGAAGATCAAGGTAAAATTCTTGTTCTTTCTGTTTTATTATACATTTATAATAGACTGTATTCATTGCTGACAACTCTACTTCTGCCCTTGCAGATTATTGCTCCCCCAGAGAGGAAGTACTCTGTATGGATTGGAGGCTCCATCCTGGCTTCTCTGTCCACCTTCCAGCAGATGTGGATCAGCAAGCAGGAGTACGATGAGTCCGGCCCCAGCATTGTCCACAGAAAGTGCTTCTAAACAGACTGTCCCCACCCCCACCAAAACACACACTGCTACAAACCCAAACTAGCTCGGCATACATGCCTACACCACCACACTGGTGTATGCTGAGCCTACACCTCTTCCATTTTCCCTCATCACTCTGGCTACGGCACCATGCCCCCTGATGGGGAGAAACTCTGCGGGAAGTACGGTGTGAATGTGTGAGAAACATGATATCCATTGTCGTGTTTGTGTAGGTCATTCCAGTTGTCTTTGTTCACCACCTTATTTGCCTCTATGAAGGTTTATTCTCTGGTGGGCTCGCTGCCCATCAGAACTGTAGTATTGCTTAATATGTAAATTATGTAATCTGAAACTTGTTTTGTTTTTGTACTTTCAGCCTTAAATGATACTTGGTCCAGTTTGTTTTTGTCATCATGCAAAAGACAAGGCTTGTACCTTGTATTGAGGTGTATGAAGGTTTGTGCATAGGGCTTTAAGCCTCTGGTGTACACAACAACCCAATAAAGCGCACATGTCTGACTCAAGTCTGATTTGGTCTTTATGTTGAATGCATCAAAGTAACCTCCTATTCATCATTTGGCCTCAAACTGCACTCTGGGAAAGTTGTTTAAGCTTATGTAAGATTTAGTAAAATGGATCTGAGATGGAGGCTTTGCTGGTATAACTGGCAAAGATCAAGAGGTGTGACACCTGGAAGTTACAAACCATAGTGGATAGAAGGTTAAGTTTGCACATTAAAATTTAATAAAAGATGAACTCTACACGCTTAATTTCCAGCGCAACACTTGTGACTTCAGTGTCCTAAATGTAGTTGTGCTGTAACAATAAGCTACACCTGTCTCATGTTAATCTTGGCAAAAAAAAATGGCTGAAACAATAGTGTCTTTGTTAAATGACAAATCCAAGAACCAAAGCTTGCTTTTGTCTTAACAACACTTCAGCTTGCAGCTCGTAGGAAGGACTTGAGGGGGGGGGGGTCATGTGAGGAAAGGAATCAAGGATGTCTAAATTAAGAAATGGGATAAGCATTTGGCTTAAATGACATTGATGGCTGGAGTCCATTTGGCTACTGTTTGCATGTCAGTGTAAGGTGCTGCACATGCAACAAACGCTGATGCATCAAAGCCTCCATCCAAACATTGTATTATGTATTATTCTGTAGATTCTTCTTAGTTTTCTAGAGATTTTTTTTTTTTTAATCAGTCTTAAAAAAAATTTGAATTTAACACACATTTCAGTCTGACTGCTGTCAAGAGTTAAACAGCAAATATTTACAGCCATCAGCCTTCATGGCAGGCTGAATACTGAAGATGGATTTTGAGGAGTATAACTTTACTACAAAACCTTTTTTTATAGTGCCATCATGTGAATAACTGATTATGAGAAACAATAATCAGCTTTTTTTTTTTACATTAATAACTTTAGAAAATACATAAGATGTAATATAGTTCTATACATTAGGAAATATAAAGACTGCTGCACTGAAACTTTACTATCTTTCTGTTTAACACTAAAGCTGGCATACATTTGTCTTACCAATACTTTAGATTTGTGAATATTCAATAAATCCTGCATAACTCTCCTATCAATCTGCATGCCAAAGTCAGGAGTGCAGGAGAAGTAATATGTGAGGGTGGGGCATGTATGAAAACAGCAGGACTGGTGATTTGTGACTGGTTTAGCATATGAGACCTTTAACCTCCTAAGACCCAAACTCTTCCACAGCATGCATTTTTAATTTCTCTTTGATATTTGGGCATATTGGGGCCCGATGAATGTAAAAACAAATAATTACCAGATTTTTTTTTTTACCTTATTTTTGTTTTTAAGAAAAATGAGAGCCACATATGAGGATATTCATTTAAAATTTTGATAGAACAGTAGCGGTATAATGTCCTCGTAAGTGGATATCAGGCCCTATTGAGCAAAATTGACTATTTTGGTCTAAATAACCCAAAATGTGATGTCCACATATGTGGACGCCAGTTCCTAGGAGGTTAAATTTTCCCTCAGACTGTCTTCTCGTTCATCTTTTTAAAGAGGCTTTTGATTCAGTGGAACCAGGTATTCCTCTCATAAACAGTTCTCTTATATCTGGTTGTATTCCAGCTGCCTTTAAACATGCTGTTGTGCAGCCTCTTATTAAAAAGAAGAACCTGGACCCTGCTGTTTTTTCTAACTACAGACCTATTTCTAAATTACCATTTCTGTCTAAGGTTCTTGGAAAAAATGTTTTTAAGCAAATTCTGTCATTTTTAAGCATACACAGTATGTGGGAAAAGTTTCAGTCAATGTTAGGTCACATTACAGAGATGGCTTTTTTGAGAGTTCTTAATGATCTGCTTTTAACTGCTGACTCTGGCAGCCCTGCCATTTTAGTTCTTCTAAACCTGTTTGCTGCCTTTGATACTGTGGACCGCAAGATCCTGCTGTCTCGTCTGGTATATGTTGCCTCTAGGGCATTGGTGGGCAACTCCAGGCCTTGAGGGCCAGTGTCCTGCAGGTTTTAGATCTCACCCTGGGTCAACACACCTGAATCAAATGATTAGTTCATTACCAGGCCTCTGGAGAACTTCAAGACACGTTGAGGAGGTCATTTAGCCATTTAAATCAGCTGTGTTGGATCAAGGACACATCTAAAACCTGCAGGACACTGGCCCTCGAGGCCTGGAGTTGCCCACCTCTGCTCTACGGTCTAACTTTAGAAAACATAATATTTCTTTCCACTGCTTTGCTGATATAATGCAGGTGTATATGCCCGTTCATGTGAACAACAGAGATACATGGAAGCCTCTGCTACACTGCCTTAGTAACATTAAGTTCTGGATGAGGATGAAAGTGACTCTACTGACACTCCGAGTCATTTTGATCTTTACTGTTGCTGTTGCAGTAAAAAATCTGGATGCAATTTTTGCCAGGTTTTTTTTTTCAAATGGATTACCAAATAAGGAGTTTCACTAAAGTTTGTTTTTTATCAACTATCAACATCATCTCTTACAAAAGGACCCAGAAAAAGTTCTACATGCTTTTATCACTTCCCGCCTGGACTACTTAAGTCCCTATATCAGGGGTCCCCAATCCCAGTCCATGAGGGCCGGTGTCCCTGCAGGTTTTAGATGTGTCCTTGATCCATCACAGCTGATTTAAATGGATAAATTACCTTCTCAACATGTCTTGAAGTTCTCCAGAGGCTTGGTAATGAACTAATCATGTGATTCAGGTGTGTTGACCCAGGGTGAGATCTAAAACCTGCAGGGACACCGGCCCTCGTGGACTGGGATTGGGGACCCCTGCCCTATATTTTGGAATTGAACAATCATCTTTACGCCTCTAGCAGTCAGTCCAGAATACGGCAGCTCGCCTCTTAACAGGTATTAAAAAGCAGGAAAACAGGAAGACCACAGGAAAGGTTCATGGATGTAGTGAAGGAGGACATGCAGAGGGTTGGTGTGACAGAGGAGGATGCTGGGTGAGATGGAGACAGATGATTCACTGTGGCGACCCCTAAAGGGAGCAGCCAGAAAAAGAAGACAGCTCTGTTATCGCCCTGTATATTTTTTATATCTATCTAATAGCATCTATAAAAAAAAATACAAAACTTTATTTAATGACTTTCACAAAAGAATTTGTATTTTATTGTGTACATTTATAAATTTGCAACTTTTTAAAATTGAACCAGCAGGAAGTGTGTCCGTCGCTAAAAGATGTCCGACACGTGCGGCAGCATATATCGTCCGTGCAGCTAACGGTAACACAAACGTCCAGCCGCCTGTGGTTTCACGCAGCAGGTTCACGGAACATGAAGCTCCGGCTGGGTGGATGAGCCTTTTTTTAAAAACATGAGTGGGGATGTGTGCGGAGTTTCAGACGACATGGATTACCAGATTTTACAGGTTGGTGAAGACGGCGTTCACAGTTAGTTAGCGGTGCTGCTGAGCAGATCAGCTCAAAGTAACGTTAGCGACAAAATGTTAACGCCGGTCAGGTAAGGTTATGCTCCAAACACTTTACACAATTATTTTTTTAATCCTGAGTTTGGTTTACCGGCGTCGACAGTGTGTTGGAAATAAGTGTGTTTTGGTGTGTGCGCGTGTGGGGTTTTTTTTGTTTGTTTGTTTTATCGAGAAAACCTGCTAAGCTCAAACGCCCTGGTACTATAACCATTAAAAGGTTGTATTGTCCAGAAGTGGTATTATCAAATAAAAAATAACCTGGAGCACAGTGACCACTATTGCCATTTTCTATTAAAAATATTTCATTTTTATTTTGTTTCTGCTAAATAATGCTTCAGCTATAGTGGGGGTCATACTTTATGAATAAAGATAAACCATGGAGAAATGATGTCAGAATGTTTCTGATCGAGTAAATTGAATACTTAACACATACCTGATATTAATGGGGTTTTTTTGTTTTTTTTTTTAAAACGTACAAAAATGACAATAAAACAGGACACATTAAAAGGAGAGCTGTACAACAGATACATAAAATAATACTGTGTCATGGTATAAATTATATTGTCAATTAAATTCCTTCTAGAGGAATTTAATTGACTAATTTTCTCCAAATGGCCTAAAAGCGCCTCTCACTAACACTGTGTACTGTCTGGCTCAGGCTGTGTGCGATGAGGATACCTTGTCTTCTTCCTCCGTGGGGATGTCAGATTTGTCTGATGAAATCCTGCTATGCATCCTGCGCCATATTCCAGTGTGTGACCTGCTGCTGAATGTGGCAAATGTCTGCCAGAAGCTTAACACGCTGTGCCATGACAAGACCCTGCTCACAAATGTCAGCCTGTCTGAGGATTATTGGGTAACTTAATGCAATATTCAAGTTCATGTATGTGTACAACTTTCCATGTATTTAAAAAAATAAAATGCCTCTGTAACATCAAGTTGTATTCTAATGAAACATTAAATGGACTCTGTTCTTTATTTCTCTCCAGGCTGATGACTCATTGGTTCGACGCATACTAAAGCAGCTGGCCAATCATGTGCAGTCTCTGAGCCTGAATGGCTGCTACTGGCTATCTGGCTCCACCATGGAGCACATCGCACGCTGCAGAGGAGTGACGCACCTAGATGTTACCGGTTGTCGCATCACTTCACTTCGCCTGTCCCGTCTCCTCTCCTCCCTCGCTTCCCTCAAATCCCTCGCTTTTGACGTGACACCAGGCTTCAACTCTGCTCAGCTCAGCTCAGAGGCGGTGGATGCACTGAGCCGCCTGTCGGAGCTTAGGCAGATGCTGTTGACACCAAGCTACGGTGTAGTGCCATGCTGTGCCCAACTCCGCAAGTAAGGATGTTGGCCCTGACCCAACTGTGTTTTTTGATCCCTTCCCTCCCTAAACCCCCTTCAAATGCTTAGGAGCGGCCCTCTTCAAAGTCTAGAAATATTTGGACAATGTCACAGTTTTTATAGGTTTTGGCTCTCTGGACCACCATACTGCGTTTCCTTGAGGTGTTCTGCCAGTCCTTTAATACAGCCACTCTCTGATAGGTTTACTTTGATTTTTCTTTGATCTGCTTAATTTTCATGACATAACGAGGGAACGTGTCTAATTAAATAAATCTATAAATATCCTATAAAATGGCTGTCATTTGTAAATTATGTGACAGCTGTGAGTCTTTGGCTTAAAAAACAAAAATGTATGATATTTAAATGATACAGTGTTGTGTCCATTTGCTTGTCGTTGCACCGTAGGCTGATGTTGCAGTTTGACATCCCAGATGTGACCAAAGAGGGTGTCGGCGTTTGCTGTCAGTTAATGGTCGGTCAGAGCAGCGTGCCACATTACAAACAGCTTGAGGAGTTCACTGCCAGGCTGGCTCCAGGAGAGGTGAGTATGTTGGGGCTTATGTCCATGAAACCTGTTTCTATATGGGCTTTAATTAACGCGTCTGTGTTGTCATGTTCTTAGGTAAACCAGACCCTGCTCCTCCTATACCTGGCAGTGTTCAGCGTTAACGTTCCGAAGCATCTCAGAGTTTTCCTTGTGTCCATCCCCGGCCCAAACCCGGCTCCCTGGCCTGCTGCTCCCTCGGTGGCTCAGAGCTTGGGTGAGCGGGGCGACCTGGTTGCCCTGCAGCTCCCTCGGTCATGGCTGGACTCTGCATCGCTAAAGCAAGCTCTGGAAGGAAACAGCCCCAAACACCTTAGCTTCAGCCGATGCCCGGCATTGTGGCCACAGGTGTTCCAGTCGCTGTTGAACGGGGGTGTAAGAGACGCCACGCAGCTGGTTAGTCTGAATCTGAGCGGGATCAACCACGTTCCTTATTCGGAGTGCAGGATTGTGGAAGATCAGCTGGCTGCTGGGACAATGAGCCAGCTGGCAGACAGCTGTTCCAACATTAAATACCTAAACTTGATGCACACACATTATCATCATGAAAACTCACCTGGGCTGGAAGGGGAAACCCACCTGTGTGCCAGCTTGGCCAAATTCAGACACCTGCTCTCCCTCACGCTCCCTGCCTGCGCCCTGTCAGATGGTTTAAATACAAATCACACGCAAATGCAGAACACTCATCTTTCTCCGCTTTTCCAGGGATTGAAGAAGGTTCCTCGTGTGGGCCTCCAGAATTACAAGGCTGCCTCAGAGTCCTCTGTGTCAGGGGACAGCACATCGGGGCTCGCTTTGCTGTTAGCTGGCTGCCTTTTTTTAGAGACCTTTGAGCTTATCGGTCCAGGCTTTGCTTCCACACTGCCTCGGCTTGAGCCGTGCACTCGTGCAAGCGTGGAGCCTCGTGGCATGTGCGCTTGGGCACGAGGAATTGGAGACGCACATTTGGCGGTGCTTGAGGCTTTGCCTCAATTGCGTCGCCTGACTCTGGCTGGTCTTCCTGGAGTTCTTAGGGGAACGGGACTAGTACAGCTGGCAAAGCAGTGCAGAGACCTGCGAGTATTATCCCTCGCCAATCTGGGTTCCCTGAAAACCATGAACTACACCGCTGCCTTGCTGGACACACTTAAACAGTGCACGCAGCTACAGGAGCTCAGGTAAGAAGATGACTTTGTGTTCGCTTTGTTTATATAATAGTATGAAGTATGCTCATAGTATGAAAATGTGCTTTAAAACTGTCTGATTTCATACACCTGAAGCAAGAACATTAACATCACTTAAATATTATTGATATTTATCTTTCTTTTTCCCCCCTATAGACTGTTAGGTTCATATATCCAAATGAGAGGATCTCATCTAAGAAGCACTGACCTGTATGACTGTCCAGCAGAGAGTTGGCTCAGTTTTTTTTTCTGTTAGTTTGGAGAAAAAAACATTAAGGAAATAAAATTTACCCAAAATTTAAAGTTGACCAAATTGACCTGCCCTTGACTCTCTTCAATCAAAGCATTTAATGTTAATTACCTGTCAAGTGTAATTTGTGAATTATGTTTTGGTTTTGAGAGGCTTTTAAATAAATAGGATATTCACTTTCCAGTTGTCCAATTGGTTTATATCAGGGGTGGGCAACTCCAAGCCTCGAGGGCCAGTGTCCTGCAGGTTTTAGATGTGTCCTTGATCCAAAACAGCTGAATCAAATGGCTAACTTACCTCCTTAACATGTCTTGTAGTTCTCCAGAGGCCTGGTAATGAACTAATCATTTGATTCAGGTGTGTTGACCCAGAGTGAGATCTAAAACCTGCAGGACACTGGCCCTTGAGGCCTGGAGTTGCCCACTCCTGGTCTATATTTTACTCTGAACTGGGACAAATCTCAAACAGACTGTTTCTACTTTTAATTCTGACTGAAGACATGTCTGTTCAGATTTTTGTCTTTATACCAGTCCAACCAGTCTACATGTGTTTTGTGGACTTGGAGAAGGCATTCGACC